TTCAAACCTATATATATATATATATATATATATATATATATATATATATATATATATATGTGTGTGTGTGTGTGTGTGTGTGTAGGGGTGTAAATAAAGACTCACATGAGTTATTTCATTTTCTCTGTAAAAGTTACGAACCAATTTGATGTAATTATCTTTTTTTATTATTTTGACTTCTATAATTGTTTGGTTTCGAGAATATTGTAGAGTTGTTGTTACGCAAACTCACACGCAAAACTTTTCGGTCACCGATATCTTTGGTTGCAAATGATGCATGAATAAGCAAGCAGAAACAATGTAAAACACATATTTAAAAGCATAAAACCATCAATGGACATCGTATGTAAAAATTGTATTCGCCATTATATGACCAGTATGGTTGGCAATGAAAATAACACATATTCTCACATGCGTAATATTTTATCCCTACCGATGTCGTAAGCGTATATTGATTCGAAATATTTAGACAAAGTGACCGCAACTCTTCAGTCAAGAAAACAATCTTATTCCATTAAGTACGATTTTCAGTAGTCTAATATATATATATATATATATATATATATATATATATATATATATTTGTGTGTGTGTGTGCATGCGTACGTGTTCGTGCGTGAAGACAATAGGAATACTGATCGATGTATTTATTTACGACAACGAGTTTGTGAAAGAGATTTTTATTTAAGTCTTACAGCATTTAAATTAATATTCATGTTCACATTCACTAGTTAGAGAAATATTAATCGGCAAGTTATCTATATTCCATTTTTGTTTTAAATCTTCAAATTTTGGAAGCCCTTTATGTGAAAAATTCCGACGTCAAATGAATAAAATAAATTAAGAGTAAAACAACAAATTTCTAAAATTCTTGCAACAGCAAAGTTTTAAAATATCTAAAATGTAAAGGTACAATTATATATTATATCAAAACACGTACGTACATTTTTTTAATAATTTATATAAATTAAGTTATCACCCTTACATAGCGGTAGTATTTTTAAAATTTTACATCGTTCATGCTTACATATATTCATAACTTACGTTAACTCTTTGTTCTAGCAGCTCATCACTTGGATCATATTGAAAGTACTTGGGAAAAAGTCCATATGGATAATTACAGGGTTTTTTCTTAATCAGTTTTGTACTAGCACTATGAAATTAATCCTGTGAATTTGAGAGAATTCTTGCCTGGGCGTTCGACGAGGAGGGCTATAAACTTACCTAGAATTCATAATATGATTCATCTAAAAACTCCGCAAATTCCATGGGACCCAAGCTCTTAGCATCACACAAGCATATTAAAAGCTTGATTGTCACCCCCACATTAGAGTTGAGTAGTGTGATGTTCATGCACAGGCTATGGCGTTCATGCCCGCATCATATAATGGTATGGTATTTGATATTGCTTACAGCACCGTGTCATCAAGCGATTTAACTGTTTTAAAACTGCAATTTTCCATGAATCTCTCTCACGTACCTTCATATTTGCTTAAAGATATGCATTGCAACGTTAATATTGCCATGTTTTATTGCCCATTCAGTAAGATATGTATCGTATTTTTTGTTCAAAATAAATGTAAACACGTTTTAATCACACTAGGGGCCACTTTAAGATAGTTAAAATAGTTTAAATCTTGTAATTTCTTAAAATTAACCATTTGTTAAACCTAACTCTCTCTCTTCTTCACAGTATCTTAAATTTATATTCGTAATCTGATGTCGTCTGCGCTGACGTCACTAAAAAGGAACAGTTTTATTTAGACATGAATTAATAACGCAGCTATCCCTAAATTCTAATCTCATTTTCCTATTTCAGCTTTGATCCGTTTTTTGATTGGTTAATCAAGACATATCCACATATGTATTTTTTTTAAATTTTGGAATCTGGATTTTTCCCCTCCTATTTAATGGTCAAATGAGCTATGTGATTTCCAAAGTAAATCATTTTATCCAACATCGCCTGATGAGGAACAATATTTATTTCGGAAACATAGCAATCTTTTGTATAGCGATGCAAAATATATATATATATATATATATATATATATATATCCTTACCTGTAAGAAAAACAGTGATCAATGGTAAATAACAGAGCTATTCATTATATATCAAGAAATATACAGAATATCACACGACGAGGAACGACTCAGATATTTCTTGCTTGATGCAGTCATCAGGTACTGATTTGAATTCACACGGTTTGTTTAGTATATCTGGATCACGCGAGATATGTATTATTTGGGTGAATTAATATTGTTGTAATTTAATTGCACTATAGTCTAATCTTGAATTTGAATTTCGTCTCAAACTTATATTTAAAATTGTAAAGGCAATTTACAAAATCTTCACTAGTATTAACGTAATACAGTAATTCTTTCAATCAAAGGCAAATCTACTTAGGAACATCCAGTACATCATGAGAGACTATAGCTAAAAGTACGACTCTCTTTTGCCATACTTTGCATTAATAAACTTTAATACAAATTATCGCAAATATCTGCTACTTTAACGTCATCATTCATGTAAAATATCATCTGATCGTTCGGTATTAAACCAATATATGTTTAAGAAAAATAAGCACTCAGCGAATCCATAATTTTACATAAGAATATAGTGATATTTATAATTGCAATAGTTCCACATCGTTTAAAAATAAAGGAACCTCAGTACAATATATATCTACAGGAATATATATTTTATTGGGAAATATTTAACAGATATTCCATAATCGGAGTAGAATTTCAGGAGATTTATTTATAATGTTCGTTTGTGTCATAATGTCTAAATTCATATTTTTCCTAGTGACACTGGTACAAAATCACATCTGAAAATCAACACGCACAATATTTGCAAACATTCGTAAAAAAGAAGTAACTATTTTAGCTGTGGATATAATATTATCTTTTGTCATTTTGTCAAAATTTTATTAATATGAAATATCGATCTTCTCGGTAATTTGACAAGAAATCATTGTCTGAAATAATCAGTCAACCATTGCATATAATTGCGCCATTTTTACATTGTTTTCTCTCGCTTGTTTGAAAAATAGTAAGCATTACTGTGTGGTTTCTATGCAATTTCACATAGATAATTTTGATGCAAACAGAAACTGCAATTATACAATTTTAATTGTTAGTCTACTCGCGAAATTAATTTTTCCATCATTCTTTTATCTGTTTCTTGTCTTCAGTAAAATAGAATATATATATATATAAATATATATATATATAAACAAAATTTGAAAATACATATAACAGCGCGTTCATGCAGGTTTTTAAAATCGCTATCCCAGAGGAACGCATATTGTATATCAGTTAGAATAATTCTTTATTATTTACTTCTGAAGATGATTTCAGAAAATGTCGAAACTACTTGGGTTTAAAAAATATGGCGCCTTCCTTGATGAATTTATTATTATCCCCAAGAAACTGATTAGACAACTAGAAAGGATCAGTATAAAATAAGTAGTCTCTATGATCCAATGAAACACACGCACGCACACATACACACACATAAATGTGTGATCGTGTGTAGTACATGTGCACACGTACTACACGTAGCGCGAAACCCTGTTAATTTTAATAAATACTAGCAGCATGGTCCGGCGTTACCCGGGCTTGATTCAAGAATCGTACGACTCATGCAACAATCGCTATCACTTGACTTAAAATATGTTTACCCTTCTTTGCCTTTAAACGAGTGTCCTTTGCCGTACTGATGTTGCTACATGCCTTACTTCACGCTGCGAATTTTTTCTAAGCTCTATACTAAACATTAAATATGTAACGAAAAAAAGAACTAAACAAAATGAACACAAAACGATCAGCTTTAAAAAAAAGACTCGTAACTGGAAAAACCGAATGAAAAAAGAATGTTAACTACACATACTTTTTCACACCCAAACCAGTTCTGCGGAATCAGAATCAACTTTAAGATTAAGCAAGCGAATGGGCCAATTGGAGTAAAGTGCCATGCAGATTTAAATTTTTCCCAGTGTGACGAATGCAGCTACCGATTTTTTTTACATGCTAGCATGTTAGTTAACATTGGTGTCAGTCAACTGTTGGCTGTCACGCTGACCAATAGAATCTTCCTACCTATTCGTGGCTGTCAGCTATAGGCTCTCACTCTGGTCAGTACAAAATGGCCGCAAACTACATGAAAACTGACGTAGAATCATGAAAAAAATCGCTTATTTCCATTATCGATGGGAGTTGGAAAATGCAAAGTCGGTCTTGGCCTTACCGCTAACTTGGAGCATGTGCATGTAAAATTTGGTGCAAATCTGTCGAAAATTGCGGCCGTGCATTCGTTACACACACACACACACACACACACACACACACACACACATCCTGACTTTTATAGATAGAGATTCCACACATTGTCTCAACGAAAATGAATCTGGTCTATGGTGTATATAGTTGTAAAACTGTTATTTTTCTCGGTTCAAATATTACTCAGATTCTAGAGTAAGTGATAGTTAACGTAGTCAGTATACAATCTCCGACGTGAATAATTAACTAAGGATGCATTATTCATATCCTCACCTACATACCTAATCTTGTTTACTTGTGCCGAAACATTTTGTCAAGTTACGAAAATGCCTAGATTAAACGTGGTTATCTGCCCTTGTTTTACTTTTGTCTTTTTTTTCATGTGGTTTAGTGCTAGAATCGAATGCATATATATATGCCAGGAACTCGAAAATATTTCGTTGATGAAAGAGCCATTAGATCACTTCGCAATTCTTTTGTGAGACAAACACGCAAATATAAGACAATACTATTGTGCAAGAGATGGTTAAATATAAAATTATTGGCATGACATATAGCGAACACCTTAACTTTCCACGTGTTACTTACTGTTTTGACATTGAAAGCAAGAAAAACAGGGAAATCTCAACTTACCTTGTTGCATCAGGCAACCTATGGTAAACCATAGACTATTTAGAACAGTGAACTGATTATCTAGCTCATCTGATCCTGACTCGTACCATTCGTAGGGACTCAACCGGGCTATTATGTAGAGCATGAAGCTGACCACAAGATAGGCTGCAATGATGTATACCCATACCTCTGAGGTCAGAGGTGAAAGAAAGGAGAACAATTTCGGTGGCTTTTTGTGCGGCCTTTTATAGAGAATCGTTATACCCAGGTTTAAGAACGGTTTTGTAAAATCAATGACCTTCTCACGTTTGTAAGTGATGGACATTCCAGCTACGGCCAAATCCGCTTTCTGTAAGAGAAAAAAAAGAAGAGAATTATACACTTTTATCTTTATATCTATTCGTGATTCATTTCTTAATATCATATATTTTGTTCTTAGTTTAATATGTATTTTATCAAATGTAATAGTATCGTTGTTTAGTATCAAGCATTTGAATGTGATTAAATCTAGCAATAAAGACAGCAGCTTTGCTCAAATATACAGCGCCGCCAACAGCAATGTACTGAAACCTTTATAAAGAATCACAAAAATATTGTTAAAAACGAACTATTTAAAAAAGAAATGTAATATCAGACATTCTAAATGGCAGTGGATGCTGGGCAATCTCGACGCAGATGAAGAAGAGGCAATAGAAATGTGATTATACGAAAGTGTTCTAAAAAAACACCATGTACTGAAAATGTAAACAACAAAGAAGTTTTAAAGAAAATGGAAACAAAATGGATATTTATACTTAAAATCTGAAAGTTGATAATTCTATAGAATATATTGAGGAATGAGTGCTTAACCCTTTGAGCCCTGACCACCGCTTTACCGGTGGCAGAGTAAAATGACGTAATACTCAGCCACCGGTTAAACAGTGGTATAGAAAAATGCCTTAAGGCTCAGCAATCGATTGAATGATAGCTAAATACTTGTAACTGTTTTATATATACCATGAAACCTTACATAACAATAATCTGCGAATTTTGACCCTGGAACTCAGAGAGAAGGGTTAAAATTCTTCAGGAACGCAAGGTTCAAAGGTTTAATAAAAGCAAATGGGACAGGGCAGAGTACCGCAGCGGATACACTGCCTGACGACATTGTAACAATCATTGGGAGAAAAATGTTTATTGATTAATTCGTTTTCAACTGTTTATCTACCCTATTAAGGTTATTTTATACCAGAAAACATTTTAGATTTTACGAATATTTTGGGAGATTGTTGAAGCATACCTATAGACGATAATGAGTATGTCACTATTCACATAAATACAGTAGTAAATACTGTATGTTGGTCTGCCGTTAGAAATTCATTGTGGAATTCATTTGACTCACTTCTAGCAGACGACTACTTCTGCGCGCCGCTGGTTAAACTTATGTGTTGTTCTTGTCCATGTATTATAGCTCATTACCAAACTTTGTTTGATTATTATATTCAGTAACATTTCTTAGGTTACAAAAGAGATAATAATGGATTTTAATGATATAAGTCTTTAAAATTAACTCATAGCTGTGGTAAAAAGAGTAGGATTTATAATATTTGCTTGTAAGTGAATATAACGAATCCAAAGTGAATTGGAACACGGCTCTCCGATTAAAAATTCAGAAACAATATCCATTAACCAGCCGGACATCTAAGCCTACAGTTTCTGGTATTCCAAATCAAGATATAGCGCAGATAACAAATACAGCTTAATAAGAGCTAAAAAACCTAGAGAAATTGTAGAGATTGACAAGGAAGACACAGGAAAAAAATGTACAAGTCACTTGGTTACTCACTTGATCTATGAGTTCTCCGACCATTCCATTCCATTTTCCAGTTTTTGGGTCCTCACCACCATATTGCCCGTCTTTAACGATGGTGATGGTGTAGTTAAAATGTAGTTCTTCTGCGATGGCATTCAGAAGATCGATAGCAAAACCTTCATATTCCACGGTTCCATCCAAGTTGGTTTTATTTCCAACATAAGGAAGTTCCTGAAATTAGAAAAAACAGCGAATATATCTTTTTTTGTTTAATTACAAAATTAAATTATATGTCATCGTAACCGTATAAAAAACAATCATTTTGAATGAACTCATTTAAGTTTGATAATAATAATAATAATAATAATAATATATATTTATTTATATATATATATATATATATATATATATATATTTATTTACATATATATATATATATATTTTATTTATATATATATATATATATTTATTTATATATATATATATATATATATATATATTTATTTACATATATATATATATATATTTATATATATATATATATATATATATATATATATTTATTTATATATATATATATATATATATATATATATTTATTTATTATATATATATATATATATATATTTATATATATATATATATATATTATTTACATATATATATATATATATATATATTTATTTTTATATATATATATATTTATTTACATATATATATATATATATTTATTTACATATATATATATATATTTTATTTACATATATATATATATATTTATATATATATATATATATATTTATTTACATATATATATATATATATTTATTTACATATATATATATATATTTTTATTTATATATATATATATATATTTATATATATATATATATATATATATATTTATTTACATATATATTTTATTTACATATATATATATATTTATTTACATATATATATATATATATATATTTATTTATTTACATATATATATATATATATATATATTTATTTACATATATATATATATATTTATTTACACACACACATATATATATATATATATATATATATATATATATATATATATATATATAAAATAATTAGAAAAAACAGTATGATTTATAATTCAGTGTGCTTAGCAATTATTTATATTTTAAAAAAAACAGTGCTCGATAAAAACAGTAGAGCGTAATGATACAATTATTTTCTTTTTTAAAAGTATGATTTCATCACGAAACAGAAATTTCTATGTTTCAAAATTGAAACTAAAATTGGAAATTTAATTATAAAAATTAAACTTTGAATCCAGAGTTTCGTTCCAATATCAAGCGATGCTAGGAATAATTTTCTATGATATTTACTTTATATATAAGCGCAATCTTAATAGTTTGAGTTGTTAAGGTTAAGGAAAATTCAATCTATTTTGATTTGGGGTGGTTGGGTTTTAATTCCCCTAGACAACATATGAATCAAATATATGTTACTTACAAAGTCAGGTTAAGTTTAGGTGGGGTGTGAATCCCCGATCACAAACATCGACATCCACTATTCCGCGTGCTGTCTGGGTTTTCAATGCCAAAAATTTTTGCATTTTTATTTTTCCGCTTAATTCATATCTTTATACATAAAGATTTTCTAAATGGGTCATCTAAATATGAGTAATCATATTTTTAATATATAAATTTCATTCAAGCAGATTTAAAGCACCATTCCTCCTAATAACTAATAGACTATACAGACAAACAAGTATATTAGAATTTAATATCCTTTTGAAAAAAATATTAATTAATGATCAAGAATAAACGTGTTTGTTCCATCTCTCTTCTTTTTGTATTTATTTATTCTTGTGTTTTACAACATACAAATTTCTGTGCCGCGATGGAATCATATTTTAAAAAGAAAATAATTATATATATATATATATATATATATATATATATATATATACAAGTATATAATTGGTATATACGGAATGAATTCAATAACCAACAATTACTATACTTAAAAGAGTGCTCAATACAAAGTAGAGCAGATATAATTATTTTTTATAAAAAAAAAATTATAACATAAATATGTTATAAAATCACTACAAAAAGGCCATTTTGTTTCAACACCTTCGGTGTCTTATCAAAACCCAAGTATTGGAAGATTCAAAAGCTTGACAAGCTTTTGAATCTTCCTATATTTGGGTTTTGATTGGTCATTCTAGCTTTTGTAACAATGTTTCCCCCTAGCGAAGGATCGTTAATTAATTTGAAATTTTTAAAACCATTTATTTTATCTTCAACATCATCACTTGATGAGACACCGAGGGTGTTGAAACAAAATGGCTATTTTTGTAGTGATTTCATAACATATTTATGTTATAATTTTTTTTATAAAAAATAATATATATATATATATATATATATATATATATATATATATATATATATATATACACGTGTGTGTGTGTGTTTATCGCAAGCAAGTTAACAGTGCCAGTCGAACGCAGGGAGATACAGGGATTGACCGTGAAAAGAATGAGACAACTGAGAAAAGCAATGTCTGAAAAAGAACAAAAAATGAACTGGATTCAAAAGACAGAAGATGGCGATTGACGTTGAAATTATATTTTTGAAGATTCTACCAATCAGGGAAGCAAGAAATTGGAAGGGAGTTCCACAGGTTGGAAATGCATAAAAGAAGGTGTTAGAGTAAAAATGGCAGGTTCATTTGGTTAATTCAACAGTTACCAATCTGGTATCACGCTTAAATCCAAGTATTCGGGGCACAATATCCATTAAAATATGTGTAGAAAAGTCAGAGGGAAACCCCTTCACGTAAGTGAGAAATACATGCACGTGATAGATTATATTACAGATAAAAGATGACAGCGCGATTACCACCGACAGACGACTGTCTGTTTCATGCATGAATTCTTTCCTCGTGCCTCTCAGTGTTGACATTAGTTTCCAGGTTTTTATTTACAGACTTTCTATACATAATATTAAGCACATTTATCCATAAATGTACTATAATTTAAAATGAGTTCATATGTTCAAGAGGGGCCGAAATATTTTCTACAAAATACCCTGTTTATTCAACACCTGCAAGTACAAAAACTATATATATATATATATATATATATATATATATATATATATATATATATATAGATAACTAGACTCGTTTCGAAAAACCTCGAATTTTTGATTTGCTAATCAAATCAATCTCGAGGGAAAAAAAGGTTTTAAAAAAGAAAGAGCTACAAACTTGAACTTCTGCCGACAAAATAATCGCACAGATGCAGGTCTGAAGCCCAAAGAAAAAACCCCGATACGAGTAACAACTAACTAGTAAGTATCTAGTATATATATATATATATATATATATATATATATATTTTTTTTTTTCCTCCATTCGTTATTATTAATATTAATTAAATTTAGAAGCTTATTTGTTATATCCCAGAAATAAATTTGTTAACGCTGGGACGAAACCGGTTGTTCTTTTTAGCTTTTTAAAATGTCATAAAATTTTGCACCATATATATATATATATATATATATATATAGTTAAATATGACAGACAAGGATAGTTCATTCATTTATTATTTAGTTTTCTTGCGTTCTTACATTTTTTTCTCATTTGTTGCGAAAGTTCTCCACTGCCTTAACCTAGAATTGAACTCCCACTCTTTGGGTCCTGTCATTGGATCTAACCAACGCCTTTATCGACTTAGCCATGTGTCCTTGAGGTTGTGGAAAATTTGGGGAGGGGAAATAACAGGAGATAACTGATAACAGGCATCCATTAAAAATGGCACGTGGAACTAAAACAGTCTACCCCAGTGAACGAAATAAAGGGTTCAGTTCGACATTCCAACCACCTGAAGAAAGCCGGAGCGTACAACGGCCGTAACGTTGTAATAAATATGGCGACAAAGATGAGGACAATAGTCCGAATAATGTGAATAGTGTACACAATAACTTATCTCAGAAATATAGAAAGATACGTTGAATTTTATATTAAATAATCAGTTATCTACACATATGTAACAGTGTCGTTGTCAGTAGCGACGGTTATTCAAAGTTTCCACATTTTAACTTGCTAGGTTTGGTAAATCGTGAATTGCCAGTCGGCGGACAATTACTTCTTTTCTTTCACCTCTTTCGACAGCAACCACGAAAACGATTTTCTCGAACCTCGGCGGTATTCTTCGTTCTCGAAGAAATCAGACGTCAAGAAAGTCACATGCTGGCTTCGCATTTGCCCCTCTCTTTGAAAATGTCTATTCATAAAAATCTCTAGACAGTTACTTGCCTGCCGCACCTTGAGCGATGATAGGTTTCTCTGTGCGTATCTTTTCCGTGACAGTCAGAAATTGACCTGTACTTTTTCTGCCTTAAATGAGAATTTGCTCGAATACACTAATAAACAGAAGTATATAACCAATAGATTACAAGCATTACCAGATAGGTTATTTTATTTATTGTTATATATTTCAATAATTGTATTTTAAATAAAGATTATTTTATTCTAAATCTTTATAACTTCTGGATGTTGGCGATCAAATCACTCGTCAATTTGTTATCCTTCGAAGTACTTAATGAATTTTGTTTGTTATCTCTCCAAAATCTTGTTCCGTCATCCATTTACTCAAGCTTACAAGGCAGACACTATTTACATTATTCGAACTATTGTCCGAATCATTGTCGCCATATTTATTACAGCGTTTCGACTGTTGTACGCTCCGGCCTTTTTCAGGTGGTTCTAATGTCGAACTGAACCATTTATTTCGCTCACAGTGGTATCAAGAACACATGACACAGTGGATAAAGGCGTTGGTTTGATCCAGTGACAGGACCCAAAGAGTGTGATTTCAATACCCTGTTAAGGCAGTGGAGAACTTGGAGAGGGGAATTAACAGGAGATAACTGACATCCATTAGACATGACACGTGGAACTAGAACAGTCTACCCCAGTGAGCGAATTAAAGGGTTCAGCTCGACATTCCAACCACCTGAAGAAGGCCAGAGCGTACAACGGCCGAAACGTTGTAATAAATGTGGCGACCAAAGATGAAGACAATAGTCCGAATAATGTAAATAGTGTACATAATACCTCATCTCAGAAATATAGACATATACTTACTAGGAAGGTTATCCTTTGTTAACCATTGTCTCTTTTGCCCTCAGTCTCTCCTTTTGGGAATTAGATTTTTCAAACACTCTTGCTTCATTATGATACCTAGATATTTCAACTGTCTCTTCCTAATGTTATTTATAATTGTCCTTTTTAATTTTCTTCTAAAAGATTGCCGTTGCTCACATGTTTAGTCCATGATATTCTCAGCATTCTTTTGGAGAACCATATATCTCTTGTTTCAAATCTCATATTTCATCTGTGAGGAGACTGTCCAACTACAACTTCCATATAGGAGGACTGATATTACATAACTTCCAGTTATCTTTTCGTTGTTTCTTACATTTTTTTTTCTTAATATTTTGCTTGGGTTTTATGGAGCCATCTATCGCTATCCTAATGCTCATTCAGTCTCTATCTTCTGTTAAAATTATCCTAGATATTTTACTTGTACTGGTTTCACTTTGGTATCATCAATTTGAATGTTAGGATGTCCCCTTTACTAACAACCATGCATTCATTCTTAATTCATAGACTAGTGATTGCATATTTTCCTTATTTGACTTATGGGCTGATTTAAGTTTAGCAAAAACCGTTTTGTCTAATTCTATAGTACTTTTCACATAGGAGACCCCATTATGCGAAAAAATATTTGCACTGTAAACACATTATAAAATGTTTGTATGTAAATATCCTAGTGGATTTCGGTAATGGTTGACGGAAATTAGAATCGATGAAACGACTTCAAAATCTAGTGTGTTGCATTCAATTTAGTACAAAATCCATTGAAAAAATAAGGAATCCGTCTCTCCTACACACAGCTATGAACGAACCAGAGTAAATTGATGTCTTTGATAGAAGTCACAATAAGAAAAGGAAAACCGAATACGAAACTAAAGAGAAGCACTAGGGAAAGAACTGCACTATCTTTCCCAAGAAGGTAGGAAAATTCACAGACAATGAAAAACAGAAAATAATATATTTGTGTTCCATTGATTGCATTCATGTTCAAGGGATATGTATGGAAATATACTATAATTCAGAATTTAAGTTTCAAGAAACTATTTTAATAAAAGCAAATTTTATCGTACTTTCAGAAATCAGCCATGTCTTATAAACTGACGAATGTATTCATTTTATATAAATTTTTACCGTGAATCTTCTATTTTTTTTATAACCTGTCCCTATAAGACATGGAGTTTCACCCTTAGTTTCCCTCCTTTGGAGATCTTAGTAAATATTTTCTTTTTATATCTCTCCTCATACAACCATTTACACAAGATCGTTAGGTAGGTAGCGCGCTGTTTTTCCTGTCTCTCACATGCTTTCAATAGGTCCTGTGAGTGTGAAATATTCTAAGCTAGATAAAGTTTTCTAGAACATTAAGCCCTCTCTTTCCGATCTGAAGTACACCATGGAGCAATACAATATGTCTATTAAAGTGTCTCCACAAGCGTCTGCTCAGCAGCATATTTAAAATGAATTCAAGCGATGTTATCAGTAATATTAACTAAGCCATATTTAAAAGTACCATGACTATGAAACAAAAGACACAATGGGTGGCGATGATGTGATGACATTTCATTAAGACATACTCATCTAAAGGGCTAATGAATGGTCCATGGAGAAAGTAGGAAATGCTGAAGCGATACACGGATTACTTGAAAAAAAGCTTATCATATATGGTTTTAACAGACATCAATGAAAAAAATGAGTAATAAAAAAAAAAATGGTGGTATGGTTTCTCTCTGGACACTTTACTTGCCGAAATAAGTACGCCCCCTTAAAAAAAGTATGATTACAATTAATTTCTCCATTCGATATTCAAATATTGTAATTTCCTTAATGTCCAAAGCATTCCTGTGTAGCTGAGAGACTGGCAGACTCATGAAAGACTCTCGCAAATCCTCATTCGGAAGACAAAAATGTACGTAGATTAGCATTAACAGTTTCATATACGAAACTGATTCTTACTCTAAAAATAGATTATGTGAAAGTGACTGAAAACGAGTCCAGATTAGGACCGATAATATTGCTCATTCTTCTTTGGATACTATCAAGGAGCTCAAGGTAAATGACAGGCGCATCGGACGCTAGGTGGTAGCAATATCCTATTCATATCACCTAGTGTTACCAGTTTACAATCTGTATCCACTAGGTAACATTTTAGTTAAGAAAAAACTGTTGTCCATAATAATAGTAAAATTAATAGTATAAATTAGCCTTGATTTTCATAATAGTCTATTTTATACCCCGATGTATGAATAAGGCTAAGTCCCAAATGCACCATGGATTTTCTTCTAGACAAGGCAAAGCTATACCTGAATATATTGTGAAAGGCTTTATCCTGGGACGCGACACTGGATTTGAAATTTTTCTTTAAACGCGTTTCTATTATGAATCTTGATTTTGACACAAACCATAATTAAAAAAAAAAAAACAAAAAACAAAAAACAAAATAACAAATATTCTATTATTGTAGACATAAAGCAAGTCTTCTGTTGTCTTCAGGGTGGAAAAAGGGAAATATCCACTAATGACAAAAGACATAAATGCTTTTGCATATTTATGATAAGTATAATATGACGTAAACGCGTACGTAGACAGACATCGCTGCATAGTGAATATTTAATATGTTTCTTTTTCCTGATAGAATTTACGTGGTTGCAATTAGCAATTGTTTCTTGAACTATCCTTAAGGCTGGGCCTACTGAAGTTAATTACACTAAGGAAATGGATCATTTTCCTTTTCTTTTCTTTTTTTTTTTTTGAAAAAGAATAAAAATCATAGATTAATGGAATTGATCTTGTTACTGAATTCGGTGTTCATTTTTATCTAATTGTAATAATTAAACCATTGCAAAAATTTAAAATTAACTTCTAACTGTCCAAAGTTTCTAGTTTTAAATGATTCGATTTTAAAGCGTTAAGATATTATTAAAATTTTAAAAAATATCTTCAAATTGTCGAATTCAAAAAAGATTCAAATTAAATACTTAAAAATATTCAAAACACTATTTTTTTTTAGAATTTAATGATTTTAATTTGTTTTTAAATATCCATATCTTCTGCAATACTAAAGTATTTTTTATGCTAAATAGGTCATATTGCATCTAAAAGTGTCGGAATATTGTCCAACTTACCAGTTTCGTTACAACTCTCAATGTAGAATTGGATAGCTTTTTTTCTATTTCCTTCTTATTCTCGATCGGACTTTCTGTCATGTTCACGCCATATTTGGTGGTCCATGTGCCAATCTGAAATTAGAAAAGACATTTACTCATGAATCAAACTTTGTTATTAAACTTTCCAAGTGGCTTGCAGAATCGACAATTAATTTCAGTAGGTTTACAAGAAAAAAAAGAGGCTAAAAAATCATCGCACAAAAATAAAATACTGTTTGCACGAAAAATGCAACTTCCTCAGATTTATGGAAGAAGACACAAATACATACACACACATATATATATATATATATATATATATATATATATATATGTGTGTGTGTGTGTGTGTGTGTATATATAGAGGAGTGAGAAAGGAAAGGCAGTGTGATAGTTGTTGACAAATACAAAAAATAAAAATAAAAGCAAAATAATTAAATAAATAATTTCATCATACCAAGTAGCTATGTCTGTGATACAGATACTCACACACACATATATATATATATATATATATATATATATATACAAATTTAAATATATATATATATATATATATACAAATTTATACATATATATATATATACAAATTTATACATATATATATACAAATTTATACATATATATATATACAAATTTATACATATATATATATATATATACAAATTTATACATATATATATATACAAATTTGTACATATATATATATATAAAATTTATACATATATATATACAAATTTATACATATATATATATATATATATATATACAAATTTATACATATATATATATATATACGCACACACACAAATCTATACATATGTACAAATTTATCCATATATATATATACAATTTTATACATACATATATACAAATTTATACATACATATACACAAATCTATTTATATAGATATATATATATGTGTGTGTGTGTGTGTGTGTGACTGTGTGTGTGTGAGAGAGCAGGTGCTGAATAAACAGGGTATTTTGTGAATAATACTTCGGCCCCTCTTGAACATATAAACCCATTGTACATTGATTTTGCACTTTTGGGGCCATAAGTTATTTTCCCTCACACTTTTGTTAAGAATCATTCATTTATTCCATACTAATAAAAAGCCACCCCCAATTATTAAGACCTTTCTCGTATTACGTTTCTGAGTGAATGCATACAAGAAGGTGTGTCTGTGTATGTCGGAGAGTGAACGTAATATATGCTCTTCCCTAAAACCGCTATGATTTTCTGCAATGTATGAAGATAAGTTCGTCTCCACAGCATAGGGACGCGCTCGCGTCATGCTTTTGAACATCATCTATTCAGACAAGGCTTAGTTCCGACCGATCGCATTCCCATTGAAGACAATGTCGGCGATGGACATTTGTCAGGTCGGGTCGCCCGACTAGACTGCAGTTACGCATCTCTATACCCAACGAGGATCGATACTCTGTATGTTCTTACGAATACCTTCTTTCAGTTTGATTAAAAATAACGCTCGTTTCTACCACAATATGCCTTTTGTGGGCGGTTAGTGATTGACGGGAAATTCTCCGTGCAATTCTCTAATCAATACGTGTTGACAGTCTAATATTTCTTAGGTCATTGAAGATTTCTCCTCGTCATACCAATTACCAATAGTGAAAGTTTAATGACCATATCACAATTTCTCACCCCCGCCTCCCGCCAAAAAAATTATTTTATCAATGCCACCACGCTTCCTTCCCACCCATGACTGCAGCATTCAATTCCTTGAAATGAAGTATTCGAGTTTCGATTTACTCGTATGACTCTGAAATCTCATCAGTTATAAGACAGTAAAAGTTATTCAAGTAATGTTACTGTCATAGTGATTATATATTATCTAGCATTAATCCTTTATTTTATTTGTTTCCAGTGATAAATCCCAATTATTTAAATACCCTGCTAATTTTTTTGTAAGGTATATCTCGCTATTTCTATGACATCTGTATCACAATTTCCAGCATCTTTTTTTTATATTCAACAGGTACTCTATTTACCTGCAGATTATTGTCCTTAATCTTTTTTTTATTACTATACATCCGGTACAAGTCTCAGGAGCCGCTTGAGGTAGAGGTTTAGAGAGTAAGAAGAACAGTTTTTGGTCATATGTGGGAAGATAAAATTTGACATGTTTTATTGTAGTCGTCGTTGGCATCCGTCCTCTCGAGAGACGATGGAGTAGAGCTAGATATATGGAGAACTAAGGCTGCCCATACGTCTAGCTAGCTGTTATGGAGTGGTTTCACAGTGGAGGCTTGTATCGGTCATAAAATAGGTTCGACGTACAAAACGTTAGGTACTTGATATAATAGGTAATGACGCAGAGCAATCTAGTTGTGGTCGCTGATACTTTAGTATCCGATTAACGATCGTCCGGCTTTAGTGACTGACTTGTTACTCTTACTACTCCTATTTATTATAGGTGGGAGAGTCTATTAACTATAGAATAGGTGTGTTCCACTATAACACTAGCAAAGTCCAAAGGAGAGGATAAAACAATAGTTTTGTACCAGCGCGGCTGCAGGAGTTGCCGGAAGGTAGCAAAAAGTGCCGTCCATCCACCTTAGGGGCTCAACTCCTGGTTTGAATTAAAAGTTGCCCTTCTCCTAGACCAGTCGCCATCCAAGGCTATAAATCCCAGACTGTCCTGCAATTTACCCAGAGAAGAAGAGGATTCATACCTTTCCCAAGGGTATTAGCGCGTAAGTGAATATAATGGATTCGACTGGAATTCGAACTCGGCACTCTGATTCCCCAATCAAAGCCTCTATCCATTACTCCACTGTGCCTCCTTATTGTAGTAATCGTGGAAGTATCCATTTGGGTGTCGGTTCCATAAACCAGGAGCTAATTGGAAGAAGATGCCAGAGTGAAACTTACATCTAAGCAATGGAAGACGAAGGGAATCAGTGTCGTTCGCTACAATGTGTGTGGCATGTCGTCTCATGCTCTTGCTATGACGACGTTTCGCCTAGCGTAATAAGGCGTCAGTTTTGCCTTTAGTGACACAGTAATTACGATCTCAATCCCTTGTCCGGGTAATGGGTATTTTGCCTCAGTGGAAACACGGCAAATAATAACTAACCATTAGAAAATTTAAGAACTAGCCGAGATATCCCTCGATATAGACACTGAAAGAACCGTCTACCACTGTAGATCATATAAAACGTTCAGTTCTGTAGTTTATACGGATCTATAAACACCTGAGGAACGCCGGAGTGTACTACCGATGAAACACTGTGATAACATCAAAGTTGTGGATAATAGCCCGCACGTGATTAGTCTAAATAGATATTTTTTTTAATCCCAGAATTTCCGACAGAAACTACACAGTTAAATATTTGCGGTTGCTACATATCAACCTACTCGTTACAAAGATTTCAACTTGGCTTATACTTATACAGAAAGCTATGTATTTTCCACCCTTGCCTTTACTATGACGACGATTATTTGAATAGCAAATACATTGATGTTATTTATCATTCATGTTTTTAAAACGTAATCTTGAAGCAGCGTATTGAAGCCATTCACAGGATATAAAAGTTGTTATATTGAATTCTATGTCCAAATGTAGGACTTTTACCGCCGACATGAAAAACTAGAGAAAATTATGTATCAGGGTAATGGAAACCATTATTCTTCAACTCTTTGAGACATGTAACGTGGTTGAAATATAATCGGTGAATGGATAAAGAGAAACAGGTCATTCTAACAAAGACCAATGTGAAAAAATCACTCACAGGAGAATAATTCTCGATTTGTGAACAGAAATAGATTCGACACAATAGCCGTTATGTTATAGTTTGAACAGTGTTTACATTTGCTGATGGCGACATAAACACACGGCATAAAACGAACATAAAAAAAATCTTATGACATATATACTAACATAAATAAAGTATATTTCTCTGAAATATTCCATATCACGCATTCAATAATTAATTAAATGTTAAACACAACCTGCATAATATCTCAAGTCGTCTTACATTTCTTATAGGCGGGTAACTTATAAGTTCTAATTCACATCAAATCATGGTTAAAAACCATATATAGTTCTGAACCGGAAGAGCCATGACAAGAAAATACAGTAAAGTTTTTTTTTTTTTTAACTTTTAAAGCATAATTTTTAATAAAATGAACAATGAATGTTGATAGGGTTCGAACATATATGTATTAAAATACTCAGACTAGCGAGAATCGAAAACCAGTTACGTTTTATGTCAGCAAAACAAAGTTATAAAAATAAAAACAAAATAATCTTGTTCACAGTCCTTCCAGTTATTTTGAACTGGTGTAGAGGGTTATCTCTTGTTTAGGATTAGGTTTCCATTTACTTCTAAATATTTTCCAGTAGCATTAAAAATGTTAGTAGCATTACCGACTTACTTGAAGTGAATTTTATATATATATATATATATATATATATATATATATATATATATATATATATATATATATATATATATATATATAGGTGTGTGGGTTTTATAGTAGGCAAGACTAGAATCTTTAGACTTGGTTAGCAACCAGGCTATGACAAGGATAACTTTAAAATTAACATTTGAAGACAGTCTTTTTTTTTTTTTTTTTTTATTGTGGCACACTATGTTCACCAGTTTCATTCAGATTCTTTGCATTTATGTTTCCATCCCATTGGTTATTAAATACTGCAATTTGTTATAAAAGAAGATATGCCAAGAACGGCAAGACGATGTAAGAACCTGGAGGCAAATTTAATGTCGATACACACACTCATATATATATATATATATATATATATATATATATATATATATATATATATATATATATATATATATATATATATATATATATATACATACACACACATATATATACACATACATATATGCATACACACATAAATATAAATACACATACATATATACATACACACATATATATAAACACACATACATATATACATACACACACACACATATATATATACATACATATATGCATACACACATATGTACACATGCATATATGCATACACACACACATATATATATATTTATATACATACATACACATATATTTATACACATAC